CACGATGTTTCCCGTGGGCAGCCTGCCCTGGGGGTGCCACGTAAGCTGGGGGTCTGGCGCTTGTCCCGAAACCTTCACATCCCGTGGATGTGCCCAGACACACGGACGCTGTTCACTAAAACACACAGGCGGGCGGGCCCGGCCGGCGTGGCTCAGGGACTGAGCGTCCACCCAGGAACCAGGAGGTCACGGTTCGATTCCCCGTCAGGGCACAGGCCCGGGTTGCGGGCTCCATCCCCAGTGGGGGGCGTGCAGGAGGCAGCCCATCCATGACTCTCTCTCACCATTCATGGTTCTCTCTCTCTCCCCCTCTCCCTTCCTCTGAAAAACAAAACGAAACGAAACAAAACAAACAAAAAAACACAGGCGGCTGCAAGGACGGGGACCAGACCAAGAAGACTCAGATCTGAGAGATGCGAAGGGCCGGCTGCAGAAGGGGCTCAGCCAGGGGGCCTCGGACTCTCCCTGCGAAGGCCTAAGTCACCTTCACGCTCAAGCGGCCGGAAGCCTGGCCCCCTGCCCAGCATCCCCCGCGAGACGTCGCCCGAGGGAGCAGGTGCACGTCAGGGCGGGGGGGGCCACAGCCTCAGGGCTCACCCCACATGGAGCCCCCTGCCCACCCCCTCGGGTTCTCCTGTGCCCCCTGCAGGTGGACGGCCGTCCCTGCACACGGATCCACGCACAGTAGGACTGCACATGGCCTGACCCCACGACTGCGAACCGATGGCTGCCCAGCCCCGCCCCTCGCCCAATCGTGTAAACCCAGTTTCCCTGTGTGACCCCAGGTGCAGACGGAACACAAGCCGGCCCCGCCCTGCAGGGGTCATCCTGCCCCATCTCTGAATCAGAACTGTTCCTTCTTGCCCGGCCGGCCGGCGTGGTTCAGTGGCTGAGCGTTGACCTATGAACCAGGACAGTGGTCAGCAAACTGCAGCCTGGCAAACCGCGGCTCTCGAGCCACATGCGGCTCTTTGGTCCCTTGAGTGCGGCTCTTCCACAAAATACCGACTTCTGCGCATGGGCCACGAAGTTTCAATCGCACTGTACGTGCGCGTCCGCACGTGGTATTTTGTGGCAGAGCCACACTCAAGGGGCCAAAGAGCCGTATGTGGCTCGTGAGCCGCGGTTTGCTGACCACGGAACTAGGAGGTCACGGTTCGATTCCCCGTCAGGGTGCATACCCGTGTTGCCTGCTCGACACCCAGTGGGGGGGGGGCAGGAGGCAGCCGATCCATGATTCTCTCTCATCATTAATGCTTCTAGCTCTCTCCCTCTCCCTTCCTCTCTGACATCAATAAGAAAATATTTTTTTTTTAAAAGAGAATCAATCCTTCCTTCTTGCGTGGCTTCGGAAAGGGGTGGCCGGCAGGGGC